TCTTGATTTTGGCACAGAGTTTGAATTCGTGTGGCCTGAGTTAAGTCCTCTAATGAAAGTCCTTTGCGAAAGAAAAGCAACACTAAATGCAAGTCTGATGTACTTTAGCCCTTAAAATAAAGTGAAATGTAATGTTCATAGATACAGTGTCCGGTCAAAAACTTGACTAAAGCAACTGCTGCAAAAAGTTACGAATTCCTTTTAATGCCACTAATAGTTAGGAGGACCATATTGGGTTTCTTTTATCCATCCGTAGTAGTATTAGTCTATTTAATAATTGGAATCGTCCACACCCCATAAGCAGTGAATCCAGCATTTCCGTTTGAAGAAGCTCCAGATAACATCATCCAACTCACCAGAGTGAAATTTCAGCTACCCTTAAAAAGCAAATTAAACCATTAGGAAAATGCAAGTTAATTTAATTCCAATTTATAGAGTAAGTGGAGGAAAAAACCTACTATTCAGATGCAACTCAAATTAGCTTATTCAAACAAATTCAGCGACCTTTGCAATAAAAATACAACCAAGACAATAGAGTCGAAAATGTTCAATAATGCATCCATTAAATGGAAAAAAAGTTGACATCGAGAGATTTCAAAGTTCAAACCCATTAATCATTATACTCCCAAAAATTTATAGCCATCATATGATTAAACGTTATTCCTTCAGAGTTTAATGTTGGAAGAATCCTTGGCTGTTCACAATGAAATTTACAAAAAAGGTAGTTTTCACTTTAGTGAAGAGAAGGATTGCATTTAATATACACTTTTTTAAACAGCCCTTCAATTCCGTCCGAATACACATACATACACACACGCATATATATATATCTGAATGGTATACCCATTCCATTTCCAAATTTGAAGTAAGCTAAACCTACATTATGGTTCAGGATTTAAATGAGTTCATGGCCAATTAGTTCGATTTCTCCTAATAAAACAATTTTTGTATATGTAAGGAGAATGGAACATATTTGATTTGTCACAGTTACGCATCTCAAAATTTTTCAATGCATTACTAAAGGCGTCAATTTAAAACAAATATGAAACAATAAATTAAGTTTTGAAGTATCAATAATTATCTATGAAGTGAAAAATACTCTAAACAGAATTAAATTTGAATATAAGTGCCAAAGCTATATTTTTAGCTATTAAATATTATCCTTTTTGAGTTGTAATTGCATTGTTTGAGATTCAGCCGTTCTTTTATGTTATCATTTGAATTACTTTGAACTAAAGATGTGGATTAATTAAATTTGTGGTCTTATGGAAGCACTAATGTGTAATCCCGATATCCTTCATTTCACAGACGTCATTTCAGCGTTTGCCGCATTGTTTAAGTAGTAAGTTTATCAAGTGCACTGAAATTTTAATTAGGAATGAAGGGAATGTAGAACCAGAAAGTAACTAAAAAATAAAAGAAAGTGTACATTTTTCGATTTATACTTCCTTCTGGAATCAGAAAACGTTTAGCTGAGTGAAATTAAGACAGTGCATTCAAAATACATATCCTTTCCTTCAAAACCACCATCATTTCCAATTTAAATTCAATTATCGTGAAAATAAAGCAAAATTAGTTCAAATCATTTTTAGTTGGTCTGAATTCATTCAACCTCGTATAAGACGAGGCAGTAAAAAATGTGGAAACTAAATAACTTCATGACTTAGGAGAAGCGAAGAAGAACGAAGAATTTTGAGGCACTTTTTAACTAAATCCAATATAATTGAAAATACAAAAAAATAAATGATACGACTCTGCGATTTCTTTTTTTATCAGTAATTATGGTCGGAACGACCGAGGCTAAGATTTGCTAAACACTTCACTTTTGTTTCCGTTGTTTTTCAAAAATAGAGAACTGATCGTAATTTGTGAGTTATTGAACGCCGTTTCGTAAATACTATCAAATATAATATAATATATCAAATATATCCAATATTTTATTTTTGTTTTGCCATCTAAAGTTTCACGATTCAGGCGATTATAAATTGAAGGTATAGGAGATCAGTGAGACTTGAAGTTGGGAGGTTTCTTGTCCAAATTTTGTTGTCACACGTTTTAATGTAAATGGAATCATTTTGTTTCTAAACCCTAATTAGCTATTTAAAGAAGTCCGTAAACACCACTGGGACTGTTATTTATTATTAAATCATGATTTAGTTAATCCTATTTACTCTATAGAATTAATCTTAAAAGTTATTTGTCCACGTAAAAAATTGCACTCTACTTTTATGACTAGAGAAGACTTGTGAATACAGATTAGAATCTTAAGGCTACCCAAAGTCTTTTCGTTGAAGTGTTTGAATGGAGACTTTTCTTTTTTGTACATTTATTTAAATTTACTCTCACTATTATTACTATGGCATTCACTTAATACTTCCTATTGCCAAGATATCAACTATGGAAGTTGGGATGATCAGACGCCTAAACAAATAAAGCTGTTAAGTTTGCCGCCGAATAAGACCTACAGGATCATTTAGGGATTTGGCGATGTTATCTGAGAACTGTTTACAATATTTTTAACTGTTAATTCATAATCGAAGAGGTTAGGAAGTACACAATATCCTATTTATTTTCACGGATGAGTTCCACTTTTTCATTTTCATAGGAACACAGGCTCTTTTGGATAAAATATATCAGCCTAAAACCGAAATGGCTCACTGAGTTTAAGTATTTATCCGTATTTAATAAAACATATACCATTTAAATTGAAATTGGGGGGGGGGAGGGTAAATGCCAGAAGATATGTACATTTTGAATGTCGGGATATTTAATAAATCAAACAAATACAGCGACTTGTGTTTTCTCATAAACAACTACTTCATGTAAGTCATATAAATTGTTCAAATACCTTTAAATCCTTCATTTTTCAAAGTGAAATAAAGAGCAATTATCATTATTAGTTAAATGGGACAACAATATTCTAGTGTTAAATGAATGTTGCCCTTTTCTCAATAATACCATGTCAAATAATGTTAATAGACCTAATCGGCGGATTTTATCGAATATTTCATTAATGATTTTATCTTACTGTCGTAAATTAAAAGTGTATCTAATTCAAGTATTTCAATAAAATTAATGATTAATTTGTTATTTTTCCCTATTTGTTGCTTAAAATAAGCATAATTCCTTGATCCCATTCTTGTCTTGATTGAAAAGGCACTTGCATTCATTAACTTCCACAGAGTTTTAAGTGACTGAAGGTGTAGAGATTTTAGAATTCTTCCCCATTTCTACACTGAAAATAACTTCAAAAGCTACATTTACCCAATCAAAAATGTTATCTTTAATACCACCACTTGACATAATGAACTCACTGGTAAATAAGTCACAGTGAGATATCAAATCATTTCAGCATTCATTAAATTTTGAATACCAAAATTAAGAATTAATCCAGTAACTCAGTTTGAAAGCTGTATTATGATTGCATAAATATATGTTGTTATATGTTTAATTAATTTATTCAAGAAGTTAGAAATCTCACTACCTCCAAATTCGACAGAATTAAAGCTTTTGACTTACTACACCCTAATATTTTCAAATTTCGCTTTGTTTTGACAATATTGGAAGATTGAAACAAAATTAATAATATTCAAACAGCCTTAACACTATTTAAGCTCGTGACTTTATTTCTTACGTTTGGCCGAAAATAGCGCTCACCAAATGCACCAGAAACTTTCACAAGTTTTTGTCATACTTAAATAACTTGAATACAAGATGAGAGTAATTGTGTTACTGTTATTAGTATCCACGGAAATACAAAAATACTTAATAATATTTAATCATGGGGTAGATCCAAAATAAGCAAATGGAAGAAGAGTTGATTGGAGAATGAAATGCAGTGTGGAATAGAATAGAATAAAATAAGGTTGTCAAGATTATTCCTTAAATTGAATTCCATGAGCACTGATCAATTCACTTTCTCAAAAGCAGCAAATCTCAAATTGTAATATCCGAATTCGTCCAACTGCCAAAAAATGCGTCCCATTTATAAAGATGTGTATATTATCAAGTCATTGATTTACTAATGTTAACCAATATTAGTAAGCGTAGAAAAAGTGGCGATTTTAATTGATCGCAGCGTTGTAAAGCTTGCATATTTTAGACAAAGGATGATGTGCCAACGCGCGCCTTATCAGATATTCAGTTGCGTAGTTCTCATTATTTGCGGTCGAGTCGTTGAAATTTACTATTGTATGACAAACATCAGTAATGCTCTGGGATAGCTTGCGTACTCCAAACAATTAAATTACAGGTATTTAAGTCTTATTTTCTAAAACCCTCGTTCAAATGGATAAAAGTGAGTAAAACCAGAATAATATTTTTTCAAATCGATGAATATATTAAATATTTTTAATTCACTATATAAAATTAAAATTCGAACAGGTCGCAACCCTAAACATTCCGCTAAGATATAAATTTTATTAACACATATTAATATTAATTGCTTCCATTTATAAAATAAATTTATAATTTGGAATAAAACATTTATATACTAATTGCGTATAAATATTGCATGCTTGTTTAACTAGATTGCGTCAATATGGCCTCCTCCGGTGCCAGCATTCAGCAATGAAGACACTAATAATGATACTATTCGTTGAATCAATTTTTCGGTAATTTATAAAGATTTGTAATGGTAAAGACCTTTTCTCAACTCTTTTTCGATTTATGAAAATTTGTGAAATTTTAATTAAAGGGAACAAATGTAAAATTTTAATTCTCTCAGGCTGGTGAGTCTTTTGAATCCTTAGAAAGACGAATTTTTAACTTTTAATATAGTTTTGCCTTTAAACAATTAAATGATTTAAATATGTTATTCGAGTCGATGTGCAACCCTTTCAAGTGTAAAAATTTGCTAAAACGGACAGTTTCATTTACACAATTACATTTATTCATACAAAATAATCTTGTTCTTTCCAAACACTTCGTTCAGGAAGATGTTGGAACGCGGTGACTTGCAATAAAATGTACATTGGGGTGGGAGTGTATGTGAGTCATTTTTAAAAGAGCTCAACTCTTGAAGCGACGTCTTTTATAGTTGAAGTTGGTGCGACAGCAGATATCTTTTCCGGTGCACCCAATTTAATTTCAGTCTTCTGTCTAATAGGATTCTTTTGTGCATTACAGAAACGCGTTCGTATTCGGTTTAGTAGCACGAATACCTCAGCTCGAAATGGAGGTCCACTCAGGCAGTAAAGGAGAAAGTGAATGGCAAAGTTTGTATACCATAGAGTATAGACAAATCGTTCGAGCCCGAATATAATTCCTCCTCTTACTTTTTCGTTCTCTTCTGCCCAAGCTTTAACGTCAATTGAGAAAAATACTACGTCATAGATTAGCAGTGGTGTCACAGATATGATGAAAAAGACGTTGGTTGACACAAGCATTCTAGTTAAATTGGTCGATTTCTCCTTCTTCTCTGCATTCGCTGGGTCTGCGTTTGAATTTAAAGTTTTACTTGCCGACGCAGTACCGGTACGGAATTTCAGCATAACTCGAAGCTTCCAACCAATAAGACAGTTGGCAATGAGCATGATTGTGCAAGGAAGAACGGCTACTAAAAGCAGATCCAAGTATGGGAAAACTTTGTCTGTGAAAGAATTGGGCTTGCATATCCACTTATCTTTACTTATATTGACATAACGCATAGTGATAAAGAAATGAATGTCGAGAATTGTGAAAACTATCACAAGAAGAGGAACTACAAACTTGGCTGTTCTTCTTGTGCAGATCCTATGTGCTCGAAAAGGAAGAACAACCCAAATAGCACGTTCAACTGTGACTGCAACAAGAAGCCAAACTGAAATGTAAGCAAGGGTGTAATTGATAAAGGGGAGGAGAACGCAAAAAGTTTTTGACGTCTGCCGAAGTTCGAATGGAAAGAAGTAGATGAAGTTGGCGACTGAAGTGACAAGACTAGTTAGGAGGTACAGCATATCCGTTATGGCAAGAGCTGTGAGATAAAATGACGTGCTGGATTGTTTTAGACGCTTGGCTTGTAGCACAAAGACTGTGAGAGCGTTCCCAAATAATCCAAAGAAGAGCAACAGAATCCAGATGGGAATATAAGTGTAGCGGATAGCGGTAATCGAGAGAGGGATATCAAATGCACTCGGCGGTGAGGAATCCGTAGATGTATTTGATACATTCACCGAGTCGGACATGTTCACTTTGTGTCTTTACCTAAGTAAGGATAAATGAGAAAGCTAAGAAAAATTTAGAATATTATTACTAAATGGTTTAATACGATCTAAAGGTGATATTCTTAACATTTTGTCATAACCTTATGCCCACAGGTTAAACAGAGTATTGTCTAAATTCAGGCAATGCTAATCAAGTTAAGTTTAAATCAGGATATTATTTTGCATTATATGTCTATTTCTGACAAGGGAAAAAAATACATCACGAAATGGTATAACATTATATATAAAACCCTAAAATAAAATAAGCTTACACGCAGAGTTGCAAATCGGGTCTAAAAAGTTCCTGTTTGCTTCTGTTAAAAAAGGAAAGTAATCTCGAAAAAGAACTTGCATGCATATAAATCTAAATTCGAATTGCAATGTAGATCAGACCAGGCATTAAATGAAAATAGCTATATTCGATTAACCTATTGATAAAAAATGAAGCGATCTTAAACAACTTCCATACAAGTCAACGACAATATTATACCGAGTGGTCGATGCATGATAATACAAGGAAGAAGTATACAGCTGCAGTAGCACTGTAAACTTTTATTTTGCTTATCAGCACAGGAGTATTTCTTTTAAATTTTAGTACAGGCCATCCAATAGTCTACTTAATTCACTAATAGCAGATTACCGCAATTCAGACTGTCACTGTTTGTAAAGCTTCAAGTCATCTACACTTATAGTTAAAGATTATTGCTTTCAACTTATTCCATTATTGAAATGTACTGGCTCAAAATCTTAATCAATGGCAACTTTTACACACAAAGATAAATGTTGAGACATATTAAACAGCTGACATGATATATTCTGGAGATGTCTGTAAAAACGTCATCTTATTTGAGAAAAGATGACCACTCTCATGAGGTGGGTAATATTAAATCAGAAAACTGATTAGCTCAAGTTAAGTCGGTAAATGAAAAAATTGAACATCTAAATATCACAATACCCTCCAATACTTTAGGGCAATTAATTAAATGTAAAATATTTTTTCGCAAATGAAAATCATCACAATGGAAAAAAGTACTTGCTATTATAATTCTGCACAAAATGACAAAACTCAATGGATAAGATGGCTATTGCATTAGACCAAGAATTAACTTAATTGAATTTGATGAATTTCCCAACCTCAAAGGTAATTTATTACAGGTAGCCAAGTTAATGAATAAAAAATGCAATTGATGCGACTTTGAAGTACACTTTGTTACTCAAAAAAGCAATAAATCATAAATTATAATTTCTTTTTTATAATATGAAATCTAAAAAAAGAATAAATGTATAAATTTTAGTTCATTGGAAGGTTTAAATTCAATTTGGTTTTGGCCAAAATTTGTTTGAAGTCACATTTCAATCAATAAGAATATTTGTTATTAAAAGGCACATATTAATCTAAAATCACAAATCAAATCAACTAATATCTATGTAATCTCAAATGTAGGAGTGGCACCATTGTTCATTCATTCAAACTGCGTCTGTTTTCATAAAGGAAGATGTTTCAAAATAAATCGAATAGAAAGTGGATTGAGCAATGCAAAATTGCGAAATGAGTGCGCCTATTTTTATTGCCAATCAGTTTAGAAGAAGCCTTTGTTTGAATTGAACGAATCGCATGCAAATTATCCAAGCTGTGATGGCCTTGGAGACATGATCCATAAGGTGATAAATTGTTTTGTATTAGGTTGAAGGGAAAAAAATTCCCGTTAGGAATCGTACCTATTTAGTAGAGACTAAAAGAGTTCAATAATATTACTTTTTTCCAACATCTGTAATAGAATTTCATAACCGAAATATCCACATTTATTTCCTAGGGCAATTGTAAGTGAAACAAATTAGCTTTCGGCATAAAACGGCGTCTGTTGGAACATATCCATCCCCAATATAACGTCAGTGTTAAACAATGTTAATAAATACGTACAAAGTAGCCTAGTGAATTTGAACAGTGTTATTCAGTGGGATTAGGGTTTCAGATATTCTATGGCCTTCTTACTCATTTGTAAATTTAATACTTTTGTTTTTTTATTTCTAACTTATTCAAACTATAAGTTTATGGAGCACGGCTATTTAATGCTTTTATTGCTAGAATTCGTGGAATAGCATATATAAGGTCATTCCAGTTCTCAATCATTCTTCTTGATTAAATAATTCTAGTCCCTATACATGTAGGACTCTGACAAGTGAATAATTCAATAATAATTTTTGCACTACTGAGTGCAAATATAATAATGTTTCCATGATTTCATCTATTTTACTCATAGCACCTAAAATACAATCCCTCAAACCTAGAGGTCTGCTGATGGGAGGCTATTTACTGTTTGTTCTCAAGAGTACGCAGAGTTAAATGAATTGTCTCATCTAAAGATATGATGGCTTGGAATGTCTTTAATACCAGTGATCGGTTATTTCAATAATAGCAACTGTTCGTTTTAGTGAATTTCTAATATGAAAATTTGTATTCAATTAACTAAACGTTGGTTCAAAATGGAAATTTCAAAGCGCATTTGTTAAAAATAATTTTAAACATCTTTTTAATTCTTCTACCGAAGGAAATAGTTATCATTATTTAAAAACTACCAAAAAATAAAATGCATGAAAAGTGCTTAAATTTCTCTCGAATTTAGTAAAAGTTGTTGTTACGGAAAGTAATCAAATATGTTATAGAATTTAAAATATATTAAAACTGTAATGGGCTTTAAAAATGTGCAAAAATTATATTCTGGATACTCATTTTAGGAACGACAATAAATTTTATCTAATAAGTAAGTATTTCTGGAATTTTGATATAGAACTTCTTAACACAGAGAGAAGCTAATTAGTCAATCCATCGAACACAGTGTAATTTTATTGATAAATAACATCAGAATTCGATAGGTTTATGTTTTAAGATACATTTAGGCAAGTAGATCCAATTTTATAGTGGAAGGGCTAACAAAAGATATATCAAAAGTACAAATAATATACATAAATCTCGTCTAAACTTCTTAGAAAGTCTTTAAAAAGAAAAATTCAGCAACGCGGTCTCCTCAAAAGCTCTGCACGTTGATATCATAAGAGACCACAATGAGTTTTCAGGATTTGAAGAAAAAAATTAATGAATTAAATTAACAAGATCGACCATTGAGGTGAAATAACAGGACTCCAGGGGAGGGGAGGGGTGAGCCTGGTGCTTGAAGTTAAAAAAATAGTGACATTTTGGAATGAATTAAGATATTTGAGTTGCAAAATTTGAAATGAAGACTTGCTCTCTCAGTGAATATTTCGAAAGACGAAATTTAGAACCAAATTATGCAACCCTTTTGAGAATCCATCCATAATCCCTCTCTGCAATTAAAAATTTAAAATTTGCACCTGTTTGTGTTGGCATTATCAGTAATAAGCTTCCTATGTTGATTATGACAAAATTATAAAAGAGGTATCTTCCTGATATCACAGCTTACAAAGGAAAACATCTATCTGGTTCATATTAACAACTTCATTCAAGAAGGATGCAAAGCCATCAAACTATTTTGAAGAATTAGGCCAATTCGAACAATGGCAAGTCTTTTATAATGAAAAAGAAACTTTAATTGCAATTACCTCCCATTTTTTAAGAAATCTACAAATATTATGAATTTATAATTTTGGGAAAAGGCATGTGCAAGGTATACGGAAAACTATCCGATCTTAGTTGCCTTTGTTATAAATAAAAAAAATTGAATCTAGAATTATTTGTTGACGTGAATTCTCTATCGCATTTTGGCAAGCTATCACTCTAGTTCCAATCAAATTAGAAATGTTTAAACTGATGGAATTGGTTTCTCCACAATGGTTTACTTCCACCCGCTCATCCCTGAGAACTAAAATACCACTAAAGCATTAAATAATGAAGAAACTTAAGCATTCAGAAAAGTTTTAAAATTGCTATTTTAAGCAACTTCGCTCAAACAGTAGCTAATGAATGATTTAAAATTAGTTCAAATTATTTTTTTCTGTTATTTTCGAAATAATAAATTTCACTTCGCACTCACATTGAATGAATTTGCAAATGTAATTTCATTAATGCCACAAATATAATATTCTAAAATGACCTTTATTTGTTTTTACTAAACTTTTCATTGCTTTGTACTCCCTTTAATTCTTGACAAAATAAGGTCTCAAGTAATAAGGCCAGTTTCAATTCAAATAGTTACACTTAAAAGGAAATTTTGATAAAAGATATGAATTAATATTTTATACTTTAAAATAAAGTTGAAAAGTACCAATAATAGGCCTAAATTGAGACAACTTAATGATAACATTATTACATTTTTCTAAAATTTTATTTATTTTATTTTCTTCAGTAGATAGCTGCTTTAGTAACTAAAGTAAAGAAAGAAATAAAATCTTGAAATTGAAATTAAAATGAGAAGTAAGTGAATTAAAATGAAGATAATGTTGGGGAATATTAATATCGACAGGACTGAAGAAAAATAAACAGACCAATTACCTTTAAGGTTTAATTTTAACATTCATTGATACGAATTAGGTGATTGTTTAAAAAATACGCTTAGGGGGAAAAAATTAGTTATAAATACAAACCCCTCAAACGTCTTAAATACTTTGGTTCATGCGCTAGTTACTTAATCGATCAGCAGCTGTAAAAATAAACCACAAAACTTTGGAAGTATGTTTTGGAAATAATTGAAATAAAATTACCGAAATAGAACCACCACTTTTTAGTCAGCATGTTTTGAGCTCAGTCTTTACTCAGCAAACACTTAAGTAACTTAAAGATCTGCGTTTAATACAAGGGACACATGACTTAATTTAAATGAGTATATTTATTGATACGAATGTCCGTGGGCCAAAATTAGTACAGTTTATTTCGATGAAAATCATCAAGCAATCCAGTCTTTGCCCTAAAGGGCAGGAACATTAGACTCCAAGTACACTTTAGTTTCCCTATCTAAGAGGTTTTACAATTAAGAGAAAAATAAATCGAATTTGTAACTATTTAGCAC